CTATCTATCTATCTATCTATCTATCTATCTATCTATCTATCTATCTATCTATCTATCTATCTATCTCTATCATCGTTGTCATCATCATCATCATCATCATCATCATCATCATCATCCTTTTAAAATGGAATGGTTGAAAAAATATAGAAGCAGTTTTCAGCATAGTATTAGCCTCAGATAATTCAACCCAGTTGTTCAAAATGTTATATTTCTTTTCAGTGAAAAAAAAAGGTACTGGCAGAAAATACACAAACAGTTACAACATTAAGGGACTTACTGCATTTCGTTTCAAACAAAAGTTGGCCAGATATTTTCTTATCCAAATTTGCAGAGGAAGTTAATAATTTATCCTTTATCTTCCTATCCTCTAGAAACTGCTGATAATTTATTGGGGGATTTTATAATTGCTCAACGCTTTTATACAGAGAGGTTAATCATTTGAGCTCTGTACCATTATAACTTTTAGAGTCCTTCCATCAATAAATTAAACAGGGAAAAGATTTTTCTCTTTTGCTGTTGGGAACTGAGTTACATCAAGATCTTTGGCACATATATGTTAATGGTAAGTTTTGCACAATTCAATTATTTCAATTTAACATTCTGAAGAAAAGTTTTGGATATTGGCAAGTTGGGAATTATCCAATGAGCAGTCTATTCAAAATTCCAATGGACAAAAGGGCAAATCAAAGCATATTAATGGAAAGGAAAGGAGGAATTTCAGAAGTTAGTAGAAAAAGTTCTTTGTTACAGAAATCTGTTGCTTGTTTCCCCTAAGAATTCATTACCAAAAGACATCTTTTTTTCTGTTTAGTAGCTATACCATTATTAATAGGGCATTCAGTTGTTTGTAAAGAAACAAGCTATTGGCATGCATTCCATTTTATTTTTTATTTTTTTGTGCCTTCAAGTCAGCGTTGACTCCTGGCAATTGCCTGGACAAGTCCCTGCAGTTTTCTTGGCAAGATGGAAGTGGTTTGCTGTTGCTTCCTTCCCAGGGCTGAGAGAGGATGACTGGCCCAAGGTCTCCCAGCTGGCTTTGTTCCTAAGGTGGGACTAGAACTCACGGTCTCCCAGTTTCTAGCCTGGTGCCTTAACTGCTACACCAAACTGGCTCTACGTTCCACATTCAAAGGCCTGTTTTTTGGTTATAACAATGTGACTCATGGTATATCCAAACTTACTGTTTAAACCAGTGATTCTCACCCTTTTTGAAGCTGCCGCCCCCCTAAGGAGCGGAAAATTTTTCAACGCCCCCCTTTGTGAAAAT